TGCTGAAAGTATTTTCTAATGGAGCTGAAAACTAGCTGGCGTACGCTAAGAGTGTGTGACTTCTCAAGATCTCCTCCTAGTCCAGGGTGTGTAAAATTAACAGCCATGGAATCTGTCACTTTGTGGAGCTCTTGCAAAGCCATTTTGCATCTGCATAAATTTCAGAGTGCCACCCTCTAGGATCAGTACAGACAACCCTGTGGAATCACAAGTGTGCACCTCTTCTCAACTCTCTATACACAATAGACATAGGCAGGCATGTGCCTTTTCAATACATGTGTTAATGAAGTATAAAGAAATGAATGCAATAAAGCAACAGGATTTGAATCTAAATCAGTCCCTTAAAATGTAAAACTCAAGCTTAGCCATCCATTTGGAGGATGAATAATTTACATTTTTGTCACCTGATGCACATGATCCTACACATTCAATATAATCAGAAAATGTGTTAGATGTAAAAATCAGTTAACTCACGCACTGACATAACAAGTCTTCAGGAAAAAAAAGACAAAATAAAGTAACAGTACCACAGAGGATTGAAAATTAAAGACTTAAATGCCTATGAAAATCCACTGAATTTGTTTAGAGCTTTCCATCCCAGGGGATCTCAAAGCATCCCTTGATACTTGTACATACACGAGTATGTTGTATATAGCCTTTATCCACCACTGCAATGCAGCGCCCATGTGTGTGATCTGTGATGGCCCCCATGCACAGAACCTTAGGCAGACAAGAGAGAAATTACTTCTCCAATAGAATGAAAAGAGAGACAAAAGAGTGGTGACCCTGGTCACCATACCCTGGCTTTGGTTTGGAAACCGTGGTCAAGTGGGAAGAGCGCCATCTACAGGAACACTTAACCACAAGTACACCACTGTAAACCTTGTTTTGCTGTTGGGCCGTGGGCATTTCCCTCTAGAGAGGGAGGTGGGTGGGTCCGGACACTGGCACTGATCTAGACGCCCAGCTTCCACAACTCAAAAGTCAGGGCCAAACAAAAAACACCTGCTCTCCAGGTTCCTGGGCACTTAGGAATGCGTTTCCTCAAAATATCTGCCTCCTAACAGTCACAGCAATCTAATGTGAGCAATTTTCTGACTGCCAGTCAGGGCGACTTTATGGGTGACTTGAGAGGATAGTGCCTTTCCACGGCTGGCCGGATTACAAAGCCATTACATGTGGAGCACTCTGGGGCGCTGCCAACAATGCCTTTAGGAGCTGCACCTCTGGTCTCACCCCCCACTTCAGCAGCGAGAGCGAAAGGGGATGCAGCACTTTGTATAATCAGGTGTAATAAGATTTCTACAGATGATAAATAAATGTTTTTCTCATGGGCTGAATGAGCAGTGGTGCACTCCGGTTTAAATAAAAATAAATTGCGCAAACTGCTGTAAGGTCTATGGATTAAAACATTCCCTGCTAATGTTACTGAGCAAATGTGCTGTGGCTCGGCCCTGAGTTAATGGAAACCATGCCCTCTCTTAAACAGACATTTTAATCATGGGCTAAGTAATGCTTCAGACTGATAAATAAATGCAGTCAGAGTAGGAAACTGTGATCAATGGAAAGCCACAATGCGGACATTGTAGGCACATTTGGCATGTGAATTCTGTCAACTTGTCCAATTCCTTATCTCTTTGTGTTGTGGAACTCTGCTTGATTTGGGGTAATATCCCCCGAAATCAGTGGGGGAATAGCAGTCAAGAGCCTTTGATGTGCACACTTTGAGAACAGAATCTGGAGAAAAAGGGTTAAGTGGATTTTTTATTTTATAGACGGAATAACTTGTAAAATGTGTGAGATTGTAACAAGCAGTTGGAAGTGTACTGGTACAGTCCTGGTTCACCTGTTAGTTTCAGATGTTTTGAATGGTATACTGTATGCACGGTATATGAACAGTAAGGCTCCTCGAAGTTCAAGTTGACAATCTTGCTAACCTCTCTGAGCTTTAAAAGACCGTAAATCAATTGTTTTATCTTTGTTGCTTTAGCCGAATTACTTTCATATGCTAACATATTTGCAAACGCAAGCCTGCTCTTGAGTTGTTTAGTATTAGAATGCTTTGACTGTCACAAGTAGATGGACACACAGCTTTAAAATAATTGGACACACATGCGCCCATACATTTTACTTAAGGAAGCAATTTGACCAAATCTTAAATTCATTGTATTCATTGAAAATATTTGGGAAAAATGTAGTGCCTTGAGTACTGTCTGAAGGCTGTGTTTATTTGCAAATGGCAACTCTGCTCTTCCTTATGCTGTTATTGGTCACATGCTGAAAAACAAAACATATAAGATTTCCAGGCCATTACTGTTATAATGGTTATACTACAGCTAGATGCTACAGCTTCAAAAAGCTTAAGTTATACTTTAAAAATAATTTTGCAATAGTTCTGTCTTTCTTTTCTAGTTTCTTTGAACCTGCGCATGTAATCTATAATTAGATTTAATTATATTTTAAGTTTAATTGGAGTTGAAAATATCTGTAATGAATTATTTGAGACAAAATTGCAAATTTCACATAGATTGTAACCGTTTCTAAAGTTAATTAGATCTGGTTGGATAAGTGTAATTGTTTGCTGCACTGAGCTGGAAGCTAATAAACCGATCAGCTTTAACTGAATTTCGGTGGACACTGCAATATAAATCAGTTAGTTGTTCTTGGAGTGAAAGCACTCTTTTTAAGATTTACAGTGATAAACCTGTGATTTTTCACAGGTGCAATAATACAGTTAAACTAATTTTCCCGTGTGTTAACTACTCTTGTTCTGCTCAGTTCATCTTATTTTTTGCATTTGAAAAGAGTTCCCATTAATGAAGAAATTTCACTGTGTACACAACAGCAGTCAAATATACAATATATATAATTTCCATTAAAGGAAATTGTAAAGTAATTTGCACTTCTTAATTCTTATAATTTTGGTCTGTCGGTAAGCTGACAGTAAAGCTTATAGCCTGAATTAATCAGTTTTCAGAAGCTCAGCCAGGCTGGGTCTAGTCAGTGCTAGGATGGGAGACATTTAAGGAAAACCAGGAAAGACATGAGGTCTGTCGGGATTAACTGTCTGCTGTTTGGTGACGGGACACTTCTCAATGTAAAGTGGGATTCACATCAGTTTATTTTTAAATCATGAATTTATTCAACTGAGATTGCAGACTTAAGATTTGTTCTCATATCTTTTTAAGTTCCAAACAAACATGGCTAGGAGATAAAGACACAACCACACCAAACACTATCAAAAGTACAGAGGAAACAGGTCCTTTAAATCCAGCGAAGCACAAGGTAAAATACTCCTGCTGGGCACAGGGAGCTAAAGGTCTCCCTTTCCCACTGAGACAGCTGGAGCAAGTAATAAATGTAACACTCAATACAGCAACAGAGGAAAGGTGTCAGACCGGCAGTAATCGGCTGTTTTTTGCTCTTACATCTGCACAGTAGTTCAGGGACCTTGAAGGGGGTTAGCCCCCCAGAGACCAGAACTCTAGATGATGGGAGGTCTTGGGAGCTCAGTCCTCTGCTGTAGGCCTGACTAGACCAGACCTGCATTACTTTGTGACTATTCCTAATAATCTATCTTAAAGAACAGGCAGCAGACTACAGAATGTGGAATGTGCCGCACTATTCACATACTGTAGATCTGCCGTGGATATATATATATATCCATTTTCTCTTATGAAAAACATGCACTTACAGTACTAAGACTTTTGTAGTGGATTTTTAAAGCGTACCTTGGGGCGGTTTACACAAGAAGCGCTTTATAAATCTATACTGTATTGTATTGCACTGTAATGCTGAGGATATTCTGTTCGCACAGTGGATGACATTTTAGCCTGAAAACTGAAATCAATAATTGGGCTTCCAAAAATCAATGTTGATCATCAATTTACAGCTACTGTTGCATGAATCCACAAGAATAAAAAATACTGCAGCGTGCACTCACTTTTTATACTAATCTGGCCTTCCAGAGGGAGGGCTGATACAATTTTCCCAGAATTAAAGTGGAAGACTATAAATCAAACCCTGATGAAGAACTATGGACTATGTGTGGCCTACCTACAGCACTGCACACATAAATCTGCTTTTTGTAACCACTGAGCAATGAAATGGTGTTACCAATCAAACCAAAGGAACACAGAAAATATGTTAAGTCAAAATATGGTACTTTCAAAAGTGATTTTCATTTTTAGCAGGAGAGTCAGAAGATGGAAAAAAATATATTTGTATACTCGTGGCTACAAAGAATTATTTCCACACTTTCATACGCTTGTTTATTCTTTTCACTTGGTTTGCTAAAGAAAAAATAAAAACCTTACTTTAGGCACGATTGCTGTTTTTCTTACAGTGGATTGTGTTTCATTGAACAACTCTATTTTAAAGAGAGCGTCCTACTCATAATTTCGTTGCTGAAAACTTTTGGAAGTGCCCTGTGCTGCTATCTCTCAGCCCTCTATTGTAAATTGCAAGCAAGTTAAATGTGTAAATACAGAAATCAAACTTCTGCAATTAACTTAAATGTTACTGAACTTAAATGCTCAGGAGGACACAGAGTACTTTAGGGATGTCATCAAGTAGGAGAACGAATGGCACTCATAAAACAGCAAAACACCTGTATGTGCTTCTGATAGCAATGAGATTCCATACCTCAAAGCCAGCGCCTGGGCACAGGACTGTCATGACCCTTACCGATAGCCATGACTTCTGATGCTATTGTGTCTACAATGTCTGATCTACAGTCATCTGGTGCCACAAATAGGATTCAAGTCCCACTCAAGAATCCCTGTTTTATACTATATAATAAAGATGCCTCTGTACCTGTTTTTTTAACAGCAAACCACGATTCTCCACAATAGTAAGATTTTGCAATCCTGTGCAATCCTACGGAAATTTGCTGATTAGTCATATAGTAGCGATTTTATCAACGTCCGCTGTGACTCATTCTACTGCACCACGGTGACACCCCTTATGCTGTGTCTCCTGGGGTGTCTGTTGATACTCACATGCGATTCGAACATGGGCCTTGCGGCTCTTGGTGGTGCCCGCCGAGCTCCAGGCCACGCACTGGCACCAGTAGTCCTCTGGGCCGAACAGCTCCTCCACCTGCTGCCGGGAGATCTCGATGCTCGCCTCCCGAACCACCAGCCCTGTCGGGACACAAGGACAGCTAGGGTCAGTTCTGCAGACAGCGCTGCATGATGAAATGGCCCCACTGCTTCACCACGACACATGCTTAAAGACAGACGGGGCAAAAGTCAGTTTTTGACTTTTTCAAGCCAGCTTGTATTGCATCGAACACCAGCTGGCACTGCTGGCAAGCTGAGCTATTACTGTGTACATGAGTCCTACAGGAACGTCAGAGCTGAAACAGGTACCCTTTGAGAGGTAGAAGAGTGGTACAGTTCTTACATTTTATAGGTTGAAATACTTCTGCTTAACACTTTATTTGTTACAATTCAGAAGAACTGAATTTACTTTTGTTACAATCTTCTGTTCTCCATAGGTTAACCTTTTACATAAAGGTTACATATCAAGTCCTTTTATTCTTTTGTTTCCAGGTTTGGTTCTCTGTCAGGTTAGGTTTCCATTAGCAGGCGGCTGATGTTGCAGTGCAGCTCAGCTCAGTCTCTAGTGCCCTTCTCCCAGTCACACAGCACAGGGCCCAAACCACATGTGCAGGCTGGTCAGTGGAGCAGGACATGTGAGGCACAGGGGATCACACCACCCAAAATCAGAACAATCCCCTCACGCAAGTGCAGAAGCCACGCTGTGATTTTGCTGTGGCGTGCTCTTTCCTTCCTGCATCTCGGAAAGCACGATGCCTTTTGTCTAGATGTGGCATGTGCGTTCGAGTGAATTAACGGGGTCGCAGAAACCTGCCAGAGGTCTGTGTTCTACATCTATCCATGTTTGAGTCATTCAGAACAGGAAACGAAAGGGGAAAAATCAGTTGGCTGTTTATTTCAGGTTCAGGAGATCTACACTGCTTCCCTTATGATCTGGGGCGTAATGCGCTGTGGTAATGCGTCCCAGACTCCAGCTTAGCACTCATGCAAAATTTAAATGCTGTGTAGCAAGACAGAGGCCACAGACGAATCGGGATGCAGCTGACGATTCTTGTGATGGTTTAAGCGTTTTTGCGCTTTGCCAGAGGATGCTGTTAAAAGCAGGGGCATAAGAAAAAGGAAAAAAAAAACCCTCCTGAAATTCTGGTACCAAGAAAGCCGTGGGAGAGCTCAAGTACTTCTGTGGGAGGCTCAGTGAGAACAGAGCAGGAGAAAAGCCAATGGAAATAATAATAAAAAGACAAGTGTCCCCAAAGGACAAGTCCGATTTTTATAGGAATATTTGTTTGTTTCTTTCTGCCTTGAGTGCTGGAGTAATCTGAGCCCACCTTCTTTCACAAAGCCCCGAATCTTTGTGTGGTTTTGCTCAAAGATTTAGAATGTGTAGTCTTAAAACATCGTTTTTGGCTCACAAAATAAAAGCATGTGTGAAATTGCTCATCTGGTAAACAAAGCTGAAAGAACAGATTATATTTCTACTTAAAATGTCCCTCATTATTGCATATGATAAGAACACCTGACATTTTAAACTGAAGCTGGGATCCTTGTATTTGAAAATGCAAGTGTAGTTCAGCCTTACATATTAAGAACATTTCAATATTTTTTTAATTCAATTTTCTTGGCTGGCACATATGATTCCTTTGCCTGTGGGCACACACTGACCCCTCACCGCAAGCGCTGGCCTGGAAAAAGATTACCAGCATTTGGGTAGGGCGCGGTCACTCATGAGACCAGGGAACCTGCATGTGGCCAGTCTTCTGCAGCATCAATTATTAATCCCTGCTAAGTTGTATAGTGAATCAATAATTAATATTCAAAATATACATTTTAAATTCAAACTAAGCTTTGAGTCTCAACTGAATTACAGTGCAACGGAGCAGCTCTGTGAACGGCTCCTCTCTATGACAGCGTCAAACCCAGACCCAGAACCAGGATTTTCGAGCAAGTCTCAGCCAGCACCACTCTCCTTCTGAAAAATAAAAACTGCAGCCCGAGTTGTACCTCATCTTTGACTAGCTCTTCATCTTATTTTTATTTTTAAAAACTTTTTTGGAAATTGTGATTAATTAAGACGTTGCAAGTATGCCCTCATTTTCACAGCTGTCTCACCTGAAATCTGTATTATGCTGAAGGCCATTAATTTTACTTAGTTTCACGTCATGGGGAGGGCAACACCTAGTTTGAAAAACGTCTAATCGTAAAAACTTCATTTGTGACTGCTTAATTACCTTTGGAAGTATTTGCATCACAGGTCCAAGATCACCTTTAAATGAGTTTGTCAACTCCAGATCACAAACATTTTAAAATACATTTATTCGCTTTCTGAAATTACCCTTTACAATTTGTGATGAAGTGCCTTGTACAAAGAGATTACAATTGATGGAAGCGATCACACGCAAGTGTTTACGATGCATTGCTTTAACACTGCTATGAATTTCCCAGCAAGCTGGTCTCTGTGGAAAAGCCACACCTTCAGAGGGGTTTAGCAGATGAGATCATGAGGGGACGTCAATCAGCACTCCATGTCTCTGAGGATCTTGCACAGATCTGTTTATATTCAGAGAGGGGTTATTTTTAGCTGATTTGGCTCATTTAAATGTTGAGTTTGACAATAGTATTTATAGAAAGATAAACTCTCGGTGGGGTGTCTGATCCACCACTTGTAAAAACACTCCCATCTTCTGCCCCCCAGCAGAAGCATGGCTCCACTCTCCCAGTATTCTACTTTGCACCCGCAAGGCCTGAGCAGAACTTCAAATCGCAAATATAAATAGCTGAGCTCCAGAATCAAAGAGAATGCACATTTTTAAACAAACAAGGCAGAAGAAACAAAAAGAGCAACTCCAAGGCTGTGTTTAGAAAGAAATCATCCCAACATCTGCACTTCTTCAGATCAAAAACACATATTTTCTGTAAACAACCTCAGACACACGCACGAAGCCGAAAGCAGGTCAAAGAAAGCAGAATAAAAAACAGTTAAGCATCACACTAACACGGGTGAACAAAACTCCTTTCAAGACTCCAGTAAATAAACACAGGTGATATCCTTTGATCAGGAAGCTACTGTGTGCCACATATTTAACTGGAATCCAAAGAATGGAGTACCTCCTAGCTGGTCTTGCACTGGCCGTGAGAATTTTGCTCATACCAGCAGAGGTGGATTTACAGTCACACCAAGGCTCCTCAATGTGCAGTTTCTAGTGAGAAAGCCAGGGCGCGAAGGCAGGAGAAATGGTATTGTTCACTGACACAGAAAGTAATTGACCTCATTTATGAAACATTGTGGCCATAAATAATTGAAGCTCGTGACTCACCCTACAGTATATTTTATTTAATTCCAAAAAAATATCAATCATTTGCAGGAAGGCAGCATACTCTTGCGATTACAAGTCGCGAGAATATCTGAAATATTGCACAAGAATATCTGAAATAAACAGGATTTACCTTACATCAACTCAGTCATTAAGGTAGGTTCTCACTGGGAACTACTGGAATAGGTGTCCATTGCCCTTCCACGCTTTACTTTTTTCCTAGATCAGATAATTAGTAGCAACCAGGCCAGTATCTTAGGTAGAATGTAATTCTTTGAATCTGCTGACCTGTTTCTTGCAAATTAAGGCGCCAAGTGTTTCTGAAGGAGATGGAGCTGGGCCAACGCATGTATACTGTCCTCCTTACTCATGATCATCCTTTTCATTTGGATTATTCGGAGAAAACTAATGGCACACCACACACCAACTGTCTGCTCTTCCCTGAGACTCATCTGAAATGTAAAGCAGCTACAGGAAATTAGAAATATATCAGCCAGGCTGCCAGGAAAACATCTCCATTAAGTTATCTTCTACAGACATACTACAGTCACCAGTCATCAGGCTGACCAGAGAGAGGGCAGCCACTATGACCAAGACAGAGATGAACAGCTCTTCCAGATGGGGCTTTTGAAGTGCTTAGCCAACATCATCAATGACTTTTGCTAGGAGGCTGGGTTCAAACCTTAGACCTGTTCATTGGGCATTATTTTTTCACTGAGCCATAATGTGTTCAGTACCAACCTGCTGCTGCTAATTCCCATTCCACTTTCCAACAGTTATGTCTTGGTGAACCAATATTTTTACATCCTCAGAATTTAATAACCAAATGAGTGTTCCACTTTTAGCAGATTTCATAATAAACAGCTGCAGTTCCATATAAACAGAAAGCATCTACCCATGCCATTTTATGACCATATCTACTGTAGTTCCTCTTTCATTATTAATCAACAATGACAAGTCTTTTTAATCTCAAGTCCTCCTGAAGTCCTGTAAAAACAAAACTAGACACACTTTTATACAGAATATAATTCATTTTTTTTCTGTTCTGTTCACAATCAGTAGCACCTTATGGTAGCACACTCTCTGTGTTTGAAAGGAGGTTAGAACATAAAAGAACTGCATCACTGAGCAGGAACTCTTCTGTCTTCTCAGAGAAAAATCATTTACAGGACAGAATCCAAATTATGCTCCACAAGGGGCCTGAAGACAGCTGCGAACTCACACAGGACTCAAATTCATGTCCAATTTCTTCCAGAAATGTGCCATTGTGTAAATAAAGACAAGTTCATCCTGATAAGGAAGACAAATGGCAATTGTGTAACCTGATGCATCTGGGTTGCAGTGATGCAGTGAGTCTGGGTACAACTAAAGCTGCACAATTATTTTTCTGCTGACATCTGAGCCTCCTAACAGCTCTCCTTAAGACCATGATATGTGTGAACGGTTATACAGATTAAGAAGAATAAACAAATACCTGCAAGTAGAAACACTGAGATGTTTTTTTTTTCCCTGAAATTTGCAATGTCTCATTTTTTTCAAAATCAAGATTTCATTTAAGAAAACGTTAAGAGATGTTTAAGAAAGTTGCTTAAAATGCCATGTTTATAATAAATCCTTAATCTTTAGATTTACTGTTTTCCCTTGGGTATAACAAGGAAAGCAGTAAATCTAAAGATTAACTGTTTAGGTGTCACATGGACAGAGACAAGGGAACTGAGAGAAGGGGGAAGCTGGAATGATCAAATCAGTGGTTTGAAACTAGTGACTGGTTTTAATCACAGGCCAGCATTTCATAGTGAAAAAAGTGCTTAGCTGCAAGCAACAGATTTCAATCATTAATTAACTTTTGGTGACTACGGTTACCATGGGCCCTGATCAAATACTACTGCATATCCGTCACACAGTGCTACATAAACAACATGTACTGTATATAAATCTTACTGTGGAGGCTGAAGTAGTGGGATATTATAAATATCAGGCTGAGACTGCAGAAGAATCACTTAGCACAGAGGAAAATGACAGTCCCTGATGGGCTCAACAGCCTGTTCCTGTCATAAACATTTTTTATGTCCCTACACAGGCTTACAGCTGCCCATTGGTAAATTTCATTTCAGCGTTTTAAAATGATAACTCTATTGATGCGATAATGGCAGGAATTGGCAGAAGGTGGGGGGAGGGTGATTTCTGTACTTGGAAACATGGAGAATCCATTCAGGACTCCCAGGGGGTGAATAACAACAGGCAGTATTGGTTGCCACTGAAATCCCTTTTAAGAAAGCTAATGATCCTGCAGGCTAATGTGTGCAACCTCCACTGTAAGCAAACTCTTTTTATATTTATTTCTCTAAAGAAGTACAATCTAATGATTTTGATATGGAGCCAGACAGGCTTCGAGATAGATAACGTGTCCCTGTTTTATTCAGGTAACAATCGACATTGCTAATCTACTTCAGTAATGAGGTTGGGGGAGGTATTAATATTGTCTCATCTTTCTCATGATAAAACATTTATTGACCGCCTAAATCCACTCTTATCTGTGGCTTCCTTTAACCGCTGAGAAACTGGCAAAGAGCTGTAAAACAAAGTCAGTTTTAAAGGTCGCTGAGTTTCTATGTACATGGTTAATGGAATATAAATTGTCATTGGTGACACATTTCAAATGTAATAAGGTTACTATTTTATAAGGGATTTTATGAAAATGTGAAAAGGGTGTAAGAAACATTAAATTACTTGAAATTGTTACTAAAAATATTTTGTAATATCTTAGGAGCTGCAATGTCCCCAAAATGTATATTCCTTCATCAACAAATTCTGTCCTCTGTTTACAAAATGCCCTAGCAACAAAGCTCTCTATGCAATGTAAAAGTATGTGAGGCAGGTAACACTTCAAGATGGAATTTTACAAAGGTGGATCAAAGAAATGCTTAGAAGTTGAAATTACGCCTGATGTGCAAGATGTACCAGTTAACCCAGTGATGAATAAATACACTACAGTATCTGATTTGTGTACTATAAAACTGGCGTTAAAGTCAAGCCTATGTTACTGGTCTGTTAAATCCTGAGAGTGGTCAGAACACCCATATTAATATTATCATCATTACCCAGTGCTGACAAGATACCATTTAACAATACCTCATCTCAGATCACAGACATTCTTGGTTATCAGACATTAGAAGATTGGCGTGGATAAACTAGGAACTCTTCATAAGGAGAGTGAGGAACAGAAATGTTTGCAATTGAGTGACATTTGTTTACATGTGGATGTGTGTCACTAAGCAATGGAGCAATGGAGAAGCACATTTATGCTTTGGGGCGGAGCCGTGGCTCTGTGGCTAAGGATCTATGCCTGTGGCTGGAAGGTTGCCGGTTCAAATCCCTCAGCTGGCAGGGAAATCCTACTCCATTGGGCTCCTGAGAAAGGTCCTTAACCCCAGCTGCTCCAGGGGCGCCGTACAATGGCAGACCTGCGCTCTGACCCCAGGCTCTCTCCCTATCTGTGTGTCTCATGGAGAGCAAGCTGGGGTATGCAAAAAGATCATTCCTAATGCAAGAAATTGTAAAGGGTTAATAAAGTGATGTTATGTTCCACTGATATTAAGTCTAACAATGAGTTCATTTGTGATTTCCCACTGGTTAATCTGTATGATAAACATAAATCTTAATGAAGAACAATAGTGAGTAGTTGGAATACCACCCGTGTCAAACTGTTGAACAGTGTAGAGACCAGATTTGCCAATGAGCAGTTTCAAGGTCTGTCTCAGACTGAGGGAGGACAGCATTTCACCACAAATGAGAAGCACACCTACAGTAGATGAGAATTCATAAATACAGAAGGACAGTGTCGATGGTGGGGATGCTTACAGAAAGGAAATACCCTAAGGCTACCTGATACCATTATATGGTACAAGCTCTGTGTGATTGATTGCAGTCAGCTGGTTAAGTTTCACAAGAAGTTTCTTTTTTAGCCCACAGGTATCAATCAAACTTGGTTTTCTCATTTTCTCACTTCCTCCATTTGGAATTAACCACCAAATGATTGGACTGACCAGTGAGTATTAGTCCATCCAGCTGCATTACCTCCTGTCCTAACAAACACTCAAACATTTACACCCGCAGGCATACTGGTAGATTCCTGATACTGAGCAGTCTGTGGAATGTTAACTTAAATACGAATCATTAAACCCATGAAGGCTAGTATAGGCACATAAAAACACAATTAGTAAAATATACTGACCAATCTATAATATGTAACTAATTCTGTAAGAATGGATGTAATTAAGTAATGCAATAAAACATTTGCTTTTTCTATTTTTCTAACCTCTCTGTGTTTTGGGCCTCAGTAGGTTCCAGATCATTAGGACTGAGTTCTGAAGCTTCATGGCCTCTCTGCTGCTGCAGCTGGCTTGAGGGGAGGAAAAACAGGATCTCTGCACTCCTGTCCACCTGGTACAACCACGAGCCTTGCAAGCAGCCTGCTATCTCTGTGTCCAGCTTTTCACCCACGGGACTGCAAGCCCGCGTTTGAGTACACAAATAACAAAATAAAGTTTCATTGCTGTGTTTTTTTAAAAAGCTCTAAGATGTGGTGTTGTGTGTTTGATACAGTATACTGTATTAAATACCACATTTATCACCATCGCTCAGAAAGATCCTGAAAATACCGACAGCAATAATCATCCCTAGAGCCAACTGCCCACTGTGCTGTTTTAAAGTGAGCAGAACGAGACCACAGGGTCAGTACATTTACACAATAAAATCACATTATTAAATCATATTTAAGCTATTTCCTAAAACCAAAATGGCTACACAACTAGAATGAGTGATGTCATTTCTTGTTTTCTTGACATTGAGCATATCAGAGGAGGGCCTTAACACTGACATCCCAAGAATGACTACTCGCTCACTGGCCAGCAACAAAAGATCTCTGCTTTCACAGGAACTGATGAATAGCTTTGATTTGAGCTCAGGCATCCTGGAGCAAAGCACACCCCTGAAATGGGACCCTCTTCAGCTGATGTAATCAGTAAAGAAAGACAACTACTAAAAAATGGAAAATCTAGAAATATAATAAATCGGCTCACTAACAAGTCTTTGGGTGAGTGGTGAGCTTTAAAAAAAAATAATCTGTTTGGAGAACATAAAACAATGTTGCATTGGAAAGAGCTGAAACTAACAATACTCATTCTTTCCAGAAGAGTTCCAAATCTTAATTTAACTTACGCCCAAGCAAAGCTATTTTTTAGATTTGATTTGGGAACAGAAATGACTCACTAAGGCTTCACTCCAAACTTGGGAGCATTTGAGCACAACCACTCTGGGGGCAGAAGAAGAAGGGCCACTTCTCTCTATAAGGAGTGGTGAGTCTTTGGCGCAATCTGTCTAATAGCACTGTGGGTAATGAATTGATGAAACTGTTTATAAAGGAGCCTCACGACATGATTCAATCAGTAAGAAACTGAATAATCAATGCGTTTTTATGATCTCGTTTTCAGGCAGAGGTCTGCTGCAGAATCGGTTATTTCAGCATGAGGGCAGGCAGAGGAGGAGCCCTGGAAGGTGAAGCTGTTTGAAGTAGAATGGCAGTGCAATTAATGGAGCTTTTACTGCCACAACAAGAGCTACACAGAGCCAGCAAAGGGCTGGTATTATCAACACCGACAGCCCTCTCAGTGCTGCAATCAGAACATTTTGTTTGGAGTGGGAAATGAAGGAAGAGAGTAAAAAGTACACTCAGGTCCCTCTGGAACAGAAAAGCGTTCTTGTGTCTGACAAATGGAAAAGGCTTGTAGCAAAGATGCAGGGGGGCCAAGGGCCCTTCATCACATTTCGTAAGGAGCTGCCCTCTGCTGACCCCTGCCGGACACTCACCTGACGTCTCGTCCACTCGCTCCTCCACCACGTGGTCCTTCTGGTGGACCCACTCGCTGTTGCACTTGAAGTAGATCTGCGTGGCCGGCGTGGCCTTGCAGTAGAGGTTGACCGGCTTGTTCTTGACAATGTAGGCCTCCTCGGGCTCCAGCAGGAAGTGAGGCAGGGGCTCTGGGGGATCGGAGGGGAACGTCTCCGGCAGCTCTCTCAGGAAGTCATCATCTGGAGACGGGGAGACAAAGGGGTATCAGTTCTCTGCGCTAAGTAACAACCACATCTGATACATTCCAACTTCATCATTTCGCACTTTTTCGCCAAGCCTTAAAAAGCTTTGCTCCAGCAACCAGTCGCAAATGACGAGCCCGTTTACTCATTTCCGGAGTAGACATAAAATTAGTAAACATGATTAAGCACACGCAAGGAGTAAGCCTAGTGAGTCTACAAACTATGGCGCATCATTGAACAGCTTTTGCGTGATCACAAGCACAGAAGGACAATATAATCCCAGCCCTCAGCTTGTTAATGGTGGGTTAAAGACAGTCCAACAGAGATCTGACACAGTAATTGATTATAATATGATGACTAAGAATTAACTCAGGCCTTAGACATTCTTGCATTGTAGTATTACTAGGTCTTCACATAAACTCTTCTGATCTGTGTAAAATACAAAAAAATGTCAGACATAAGCTACAAAAAAAGAGTGATGCTATTTCCACTAGAAGAGCCTTCACTGGGGTCCTGTTCTCAGACCTCCTGAAGAATCTGTCCCCTTAGTGTCCTGAAGTGATCCTACCTGTATACCCCTTTAAATGTATGTATTTTTTTCAGCAAGGCTCCATAATAACTTCACTACAGGAAAGCGCACTTCAACTCTTAGGGCTAAAAACCATGTACTTCAGTGAACACTGTAATATGGAATGACCTTTCTAATTGTTTTCCAAAACTATGTGAATTTTCTTTCCAGTCCTTAACGGAATAAAATACTATTTCCTCCACAATCTATCATTTGAAGAAGAGAACAGACTAATCTATTTATAAGGCCAACCAACAGACATAAATTATTGATTCAGGCAGGGAGGAATCAGATGGGCTTGCCTGCTCATTCAGCTGAAGGTATATCAGTACATCAGTAATTCATCCCTTCGCCTCCTTTTTTCCTCTATGGCAGCATGTCTGACAGCCCGGCTGTCCAGCAAGAAGATATGAGTTATTAAGCAATATGAACTATAAATATAACAGGCTTGCAGTTATTTCAGCATTAATCTTTTTTCAGCTTTAATCTGAAGCTCAGGAAGCGTTGGGTGATGAAGGTTTCTGCTATAAAAGCAAGTTACATTCAGTGGCATTACCAGTGAGTTAGACGTTCTCTGAACAGATACAATTGCACTGCCTGGGTCAAGCCAGCAGGGGGAGCCAACTCAAAGCCGCAGTCCCAGGTACAAGGCAACCTAAAGCCTGAGCTGTCAACCTAGCTGAAGAGTTTTATCTTGAATGAGCCAAGGGAGAAGACCCTAATGTGCTTTTATATGTGTGCGTGCGCGCATATGTGCAGGTTCTGTATGTGCTTCCACAATCATGAAGAGACTGAAGCCATAATTGGAAATGCTAGAAATACAAAGCTGGCAGTAAGCTTTACGTCTGAACACTGCACCAGGTTTCTCTTATTGAGAAATCAGTCTATGACAAGGGAGCGCAAAAGGACAAGAAAATAATTATTTTGTTGTTGCACCCTGTGGGCATTTTGTGTAATCATCTTTTTCTTATTTGAAACAAACCTATTTTTTAAGAAACACCTACACCTGATGTGAAATTAATGCTAAAACAGATTATATTGCCAAAAGGCCTATACTATAATAAAAAAAACTATACTGAATTACAAGAAAAAAGTCCAAAGTAACTTGTTTTAGCTATAGGAAAACCTGAAACAAATCACAGAAACTGTTAATCCCATCTAATGTGTGGCACATATTTGTCTTGCTGAATCTCTTGCAGATATAATTGTCCCCATCTCATTTTGCCTTTTCTCAACAAGGTGCATGTACAAGCGATTTTCAGTGAGATACAGTTCTTCGATGAGTACAAGCCAAAACAGAAATGATTTTCTTTCTTATTGCTAAACCTCCATTCCTTTAGAAGAACAAAGAGGGCTCTAATCTTTGCATCCTCCCTTTCCCAGCCTTGAGCTCATGAGTGGGTCCTAATCAGACTGCAGGAGTCAGGAGTTACAGCTGACATCCTGAACTCAGCCTGAGCTCTCCCACAAGCTGAGGGGCAAATCCAGCTCTCCACAGCCCAAGTACTCATGTCCTCCTTCTCCCCCGTGCCAGCAACCCTCTGTGTGCTACGGGCAACATAATGACACCCAACACTTCAAAGCAGCACCTGCTCGGCCCATCTTTGTTGATTTTTTTCATGCTTCAGCTTGGTGACTGACGATGCTGTCAGCGGAGTTATGGAGCTGTGACTCTGGGTCTTTATGGCTCCTCAGCTCTTTCCTGTGCCATGCAAACACAAAGACAAACCCCGACACCAGCGTGGCGCTTGTTTCTCTGCCGGGCAAACCATCCGTGTCCTCGCTGAGGCGGGGGGCAGAGGACTCACCCCTGACCTCTTTCCTGAACAGCACGCTGTGTGAACGCTAGCCAGGGTGCGTTGGATCACTCTTCAGGGAGTACCCTGGGTGGGTTTGCAGGAAAGGGCCCTGCCTCCCAGTCGCGGCCTGTCTGGTCTTACACCAGCCACACTGCCAGCTGTCCCGAAGCCCTGACAGGGGTTATGAGGACGCTTTCCTCTTCGCTGCCGTTCTTGTCATTATCTATCCAAGGGAGCATTGCTTTTGTCTGAGCCTCTGCCCCCGAATTATGTCAACAAGCTTAAGACTGCTGATTTATTTAACCCCTTAAATACACATATAGGGTTTTTAATTGCCTGCTACCTAACATACCTGGACTTCACTTTCTTGTTCAGGTAGAGGATCAGGCATAGTGTCATTGTTGCAGTACTGACAGATGTTGGTTAAAATATGTCGACTCCACTTTGCTTAGTTTGCTGTAGTCTACTATACTTTAGGTGGACAGCAGCCAAACTGAAAACAACGCACAATCGCAATATCAGCTGTAGGAAGTATATCGCTACAGAAAGTCTAGTCAGAATGGGTTCTGACCTTACAAAGAGAAGCATATGCTTGACAGCTGTACAGAACCTTCTTTAGCTCCCTGTTCCACATCTAGCACAGATACAGTCTAGTAAAGAGTTCCAAATTTTACACACGACCATTGGTATCCAAACTGTACTGCGAGTATGCGATGGAATATGTTAAAAAATGACTTACTGTAAGAAGCTAAAAGCAGTGTACACATATTAGCTGGAGACAGTAACTCCAGTAGTCAGCATAGAGCTGTAATTTTCACATTTTGTCTTGGACTGACATCAGATCTTGTAAAGGGAAAAAAGTCTTTATTGCAAGCCGATTATAGTCAGAGCCTATAATCAGTGTCCAGTGGTGAACAGAGGAATTCTCACAACCAATTTAAGATTTTTTTGGAGTAGCCCTTACTGATACAGCACTGCAATCCAGTCATAAAGACAGAAGAACACTGAAAAGAGAGGAGGTCACTCAGGCCATCACATTTGGTTGCTAGTAGCTAATTGATCTTAAGATCTCATCTAGTGATGGGTTTGGCATTGACACCATGGCTGGGTATCTTGTTTTAGATCTCTAATCTCTTTATATAATTAAGTGCCTCTTGTTTGTATTATAAATGGATTTATCCATAGGTACATGTATTTGTGTAGGATGCACCAATCTTTCTGAAAAAATGCACATCTTTGGAAAAAAAAAGCTTTTACAAATACAATAAAATCTGGGATCAGCTTTTTTATAAGTAAGCTTGACGTATTTTATACAGATGTATAAAATACTGTATATGCATGAGGTAATTTTTATTCTTTTGGCACTGCACTATTGATACCCTGCTGGTAATATAATTACAGAACAAAAACAACTTAGTTATATTGCTCTAATGTCAACAATATTGCAGAACTGAATCAATTAATGGGAAAAAAACATAAAAACTAAGGCACTTTTTCTGTATCTGCCTAAAGGTATGTGGGTTAGCCACCCACTAAGAAATGTATAAATTGCACTACACTGCACAGCCACAATTAGTGCTCATAATGGCTGACACAAGGTCAGCAAATCATTAATCCTCTGGGAGTGTAACTTCCTTCTCCCCGTTAAGGCCTTACTTTGCTTTGACACATTAGTAGCTGAGATGCCAGAGGCCCATGACCCACCTTTAACCCACCTAACTAATTAAAGATGGACGCTGCACAGGCAACTGCACTTTTCTCTAAGCCTATTCATTCCCACCCACCTTCGGGCTACGGCCATCAAGATTCCTTTCAGAGGGTTTCAGCGCACGATCCAGAAAGGGCGTAGTTTGCGCTAGCAGAAAACCAGTGATCACAAAGTATCTCCACTTCTTGTGCACTGGGTGTACAGTCAGTTGAAAACCCAACTATCCTCTCAGCACGTTCCTATTCCTGTCTATTGCCGTTGCTCACAGCATGTTGCTATTCCTATATATTTTAGCAAAGTCTGCAGTTTGTTCTCTCTGGTTTCTGTAGGTCCTCTTCCAACAGCTACAAACACAGCTATGAAACACAACAAAGTGCATGTGAAAATGTCCAGAAGAAGAGAGGGCAGTGTCTCTGAAGAGTAATTAACCAGCCCAGCAGCAGAAGAGTTTCAATTCCTGCACTGGCCATTGCTACCAGAGAACTGGACAGAGGGGGAAGCATAGATATTGATTGTAGCTGTGCCACAACAACAAAATGTCATTTTTTTTTAAAGCCAAGAAAATATGTTGGGATTTCTTAATAACGGGGACTGTGCATTCAAGTCAAGGGCTTTACTTGCAGTTCCTGCTCTGTGAGGGTGATGTGTTGAGCTTGGGTTGTCAGTGCTGTGTTCACAAGCGCTCCAGGGGTCTTCGTGCTGAAAGGCCCTTGTGGAAGTTTTGGATATAATTTAAACTGAGTGCAAATATCTGCACCCTCACCTGCGATGAAAAGTCAGTTGCCATATTTCAACAGGGTATTCCAACACAGCACAGTCCCTGGAACAGGGAACACATTCTCACTGGCCAGAAAAAGGCTGTTGGCGTCCTTCTTAAACTGTGGACTCCAGAGTGTTATTCCCAGACAAAAAATGTTAAGTT